ACCTAACTTTTTGTCTAAAGCGTGCACATTTACACACAGACACATTACATTTACACATAAACACACTACATTTACACATAGACACAATACTTTTCATATTATTCTGTACATTTGTCTATTTCTCCTCCTCTGTCCATTTCCTCCCTCTCCATCTGCTCCTCTTTCTTACAAAACTAACTGAATGAATCTCTGGTTGACTGAATGTATGAATGACTGAATCTCTAGATGACTGAATGTCCAACTGACAGAGTCTCTGACTAAACCCAGTTGTGACTGAATGTCTGACTGACAGAGTCTCTGACTAAACCCAGTTGTGACTGAATGTCTGACTGACAGAGTCTCTGACTAAACCCAGTTGTGACTGAATGTCTGACTGACAGAGTCTCTGACTAAACCCAGTTGTGACTGAATGTCTGACTGACAGAGTCTCTGACTAAACCCAGTTGTGACTGAATGTATGACTGACAGAGTCTCTGACTAAACCCAGTTGTGATTGAATGTCTGACTGACAGAGTCTCTGCCTAAACCCAGTTGTGACTGAATGTCTGACTGACAGAGTCTCTGCCTAAACTCTGTTGTGACTGAAATTCCTAACTAATTGATGAGCTCCTGGACTGACTAAATCCCTTAAATAACTCTCCTACTGACTGATTGAATCCATGCCCACTGACTGATTGAATCCATGCCCACTGACTGATTGAATCCATGCCAACTGACTGATTGAATCCATGCCAACTGACTGATTGAATCCATGCCCACTGACTGATTGAATCCATGCCAACTGACTGATTGAATCCATGCCGACTGACTGATTGAATCCATGCCAACTGACTGATTGAATCCATGCCAACTGACTGATTGAATCCATGCTGACTGACTAATTGAATCCATGCTGACTGACTGATTGAATCCATGCCAACTGACTGATTGAATCCATGCCAACTGACTGATTGAATCCATGCTGACTGACTGATTGAATCCATGCCAACTGACTGATTGAATCCATGCCAACTGACTGATTGAATCCATGCCGACTGACTGATTGAATTCATGCCGACTGACTTATTGAATCCATGCCGACTGACTTATTGAATTAATGCCGACTGACTGATTGAATCCATGCCAACTGACTGATTGAATCCATGCAGACTGACTGATTGAATCCATGCTGACTGACTGATTGAATCCATGCCAACTGACTGATTGAATCCATACCGACTGACTGATTTAATCCATGCCAACTGACTGATTGAATCCATGCCGACTGACTGATTGAATTCATGCCGACTGACTGATTTAATCCATGCCGACTGACTGATTAAATCCATGCCAACTGACTGATTGAATCCATGCTGACTGAATGATTGAATCCATGCAGACTGACTGATTGAATCCATGCTGACTGACTGATTGAATCCACACTGACTGATTGACTCAGTTACCAAGTCCTTGACTGATGTATTCAATCACTGTTTAAACCCCTAACTTATTGACTCACTCCTCAACTGACTGAATTACTTATACTAAGGATTATTTAAATTACTCACTGGCTGCATCTAGGCTCTCTGAACAAATCCCTGACTGACAAAATCCCCGAATGCCAGATACAAAAAAGCCCTGACTGTCTAAATCCCTGAATGCCAGATACAATAAATCCCTGACTGACTCAGTCCCTGAATGTCAGATACAATAAATCCCTGACTGACTCAATCCCTGAATGCCAGATACAATAAATCCCTGACTGACTAAATCCCTGAATGCCAGATACAATAAATTCCTGACTGACTGAATCCCTGAATGCCAGATACAATAAATCCCTGACTGACTCAATCCCTGAATGCCAGATACAATAAATCCCTGACTGACTCAATCCCTGAATGTCAGATACAATAAATCCCTGACTGACTCAATCCCTGAATGCCAGATACAATAAATCCCTGACTGACTAAATCCCTGAATGCCAGATACAATAAATCCCTGACTGACTAAATCCCTGAATGCCAGATACAATAAAGCCCTGACTGACTCAATCCCTGAATACCAGATCCAATAAATCCCTGACTGACTGAATCCCTAAATGCCAGATACAATAAATTCCTGACTGACTGAATGCCAGATACAATAAATCCCGGACTAACTCAATCCCTGAATGCCAGATACAATAAATCCCTGACTGACTGAATCCCTGAATGCCAGATACAATAAATCCCTGACTGACTCAATCCCTGAATGCCAGATACAATAAATCCCTGACTGACTCAATCCCTGAATGTCAGATACAATAAATCCTTGACTGACTCAATCCCTGAATGCCAGATACAATAAATCCCTGACTGACTGAATCCCTGAATGCCAGATACAATAAATCCCTGACTGACTGAATCCCTGAATGCCAGATACAATAAATACCTGACTGACTGAATCCCTAAGTGCTTGATACAATAAATACCTGACTGAATGTCTAACTGACATAGTCTCTGACTTTTTGACTAAATTCGAACTCCTTACTCCTGTTCTTTACATCCCAGATAGTTTCTGGTATAATATAGGTTGCGAAGGTAAAAAAAGGTAAAGTCGGGAGATGTAAATCAGTGTCATTGCACACGGTTATAAATCATAAGTGCTCTGCCACCAGTACAGACAGTTGATAAAAAACTATTCGCCTGTGTCGCCGTCCGCACACAACACCGTAGCTACAGTGACATTGCTCCATTTACCCCAGAGTGTTAACTCTGGTACCCATTACCTAGAGGCTGGGTGAACCCTGGGGAAGAAACTGCCCAGTTTCGAACACTAGTCCTGGGTTGCAGCGAGTAGCAGCTGGATTTGAAAGTGAGCCTCCTATCGACTGTGCTGGTACATTGTCCATTCCTTTCTCATCCCTTTCCCACCCCTTTCTCAACCTTAAATCAGATGCTTTAATTAGTGTGGCCTTCGACCTTCTCACCTGTCCTGGATTCACTGCACAGACAAAGATAGCTGCCCTTGACATTGAGGCAGGTAGCGTTGCCCTGGCAGCGATGACTAGCACTGGAACACTCATCAATGTCAGTCTCACAGTAAGTTCCTTGAAAACCTGTACCAGTGCAGTTACATGTGACCACCTTCTCAGCTTGGGAACATGTTCCGTTGTTCTGGCAGGGGGGAGGCTGACAACTGGTGGGTTTTGTCTGATATTAGAAACAAACATTTTACATCACATACAGTTTTGTGATAAAACTGTTGCTGTTAACATACATCACATACAGTTTTGTGATAGAACTGTTGCTGTTGACATACATCACATACAGTTTTGTGATAGAACTGTTGCTGTTGACATACATCACATACAGTTTTGTGATAGAACTGTTGCTGTTGACATACATCACGTACAGTTTTGTGATAGAACTGTTGCTGTTAACATACATCACATAAAATTTTCTGATAGAACTGTTGCTGTTAACACACATCACATACAATTTTCTGATAGAACTGTTGCTGTTGACATACATCACATACAGTTTGTGATAGAACTGTTGCTGTTGACATACATCACATACAGTTTTGTGATAAAACTGTTGCTGTTGACGTACATCACGTACAGTTTTGTGATAGAACTGTTGCTGTTGACATACATCACATACAGATTTGTGATAGAACTGTTGCTTGTTGAACCAAGAAGATACAAACAATAGACTGCACAATTTATTGCCTGGCATGTTTCACTGAATCTTGTCAGGTGCATACTACAGTAACAATTACATAAATAACGCAAATAAGTGAATCCTCTATAACTGAAGTTCAATTTCAACAACGATCAGACATGACTGTACCAAGGCAGCCATAAAGACAGAACCATCTCTTTTTGAATACAGAGTTCCGGGCGCAGGTGACGAATCACGGAAACTTTGATAAATCTTAGTGTTCTGCCATTGGTTGATGTATAAAGTTGTCTGTCTATAGTTTGTCTCTGTGCATAGTTGTGTGTCTATAGTTTGTCTGTGCATAGTTGTCTGTCTATAGTTTGTCTGTGCTTTGTTGTCTGTCTATAGTTTGTCTGTGCATAGTTGTCTGTCTATAGTTTGTCTGTGCGTAGTTGTCTGTCTATAGTTTGTCTGTGTGCGTAGTTGTCTGTCTATAGTTTGTCTGTGCATGGTTGTCTGTCTATAGTTTGTCTGTGTTCATAGTTGTCTGTCTATAGTTTGTCTGTGCATAATTGTCTGTCTATAGTTTGTCTGTGTGCGTAGTTGTCTGTCTATAGTTTGTCTGTGCATGGTTGTCTGTCTATAGTTTGTCTGTAAACTCCAGTGTTCACTGGCTGTAAACTCCAGTCTTCACTAGCTGTAAACTCCAGTCTTTACTGGCTGTAAACTCCAGTCTTCACTAGCTGTAAACTCCAGTCTTTACTGGCTGTAAACTCCAGTCTTCACTAGCTGTAAACTCCAGTCTTCACTAGCTGTAAACTCCAGTCTTCACTAGCTGTAAACTCCAGTCTTCACTAGCTGTAAACTCCAGTCTTCACTAGCTGTAAACTCCAGTCTTCACTAGCTGTAAACTCCAGTCTTCACTAGCTGTAAACTCCAGTCTTCACTAGCTGTAAACTCCAGTCTTCACTAGCTGTAAACTCCAGTCTTCACTAGCTGTAAACTCCAGTCTTTACTGGCTGTAAACTCCAGTCTTCACTAGCTGTAAACTCCAGTCTTTACTGGCTGTAAACTCCAGTCTTCACTGGCTGTAAACTCTGGTGGAAAGTTCTGAGTGTTCATCCTCTTCCAAACTTACTTTGCTCTTGTTCTATAATGTCAGTTTTGCCGGCACATCCATTGCATGATCTGACTTATTTGTATGCAGACTGTTAGTTCCTCACTTCACAGGCAGAGGCACCTGTCTTGGAAGGTTTTAGTGACCCTTTGCCACATGCTTGTTGAGGGGTGGGGTGGGGCATGGGTCTAATCTTGTATCTCATAAAATGGGTCTCTGGAACCCATACGGGGACAGAAAAAGGTTAATATTTAGGACCACTATTTCTTGGCTGTGAGATGCTCATATTTCTCGGCTGTGAGATGCTCATATTTCTCGGCAGTGAGATGCTCATATTTCTCGGCAGTGAGATGCTCATATTTCTCGGCTGTGAGATGTTCATATTTCTCGGCTGTGAGATGCTCATATTTCTCGGCTGTGAGATGCTCATATATCTCGGCTGTGAGATGCTCATATTTCTCGGCTGTGAGATGCTCATATTTCTCGGCAGTGAGATGCTCATATTTCTCGGCAGTGAGATGCTCATATTTCTCGGCTGTGAGATGCTCATATTTCTCGGCTGTGAGATGCTCATATTTCTCGGCTGTAAGATGCTCATATTTCTCGGCTGTGAGATGTTGTGAGTCTGCTGCCAAATTCTGATTCATTTTAGTTGTAACTTTAAATATTTACTGTTAACTTGATAACAGGTGCTAGGAAAAATAGATTAGGTAAACACTTGTCAATAACTGAACCTTGAGCAGATCTTTAAAGCGACCAAGATCCTAAATATTTCATCAATTATAAAGTCCTTGAAAAGTAAAACCAGGACAGACAGGAAGCACAAACCTGGCAAAACTCTCCTAGGTATCCAGTTCCATCACAGCGACAGGAGTACTGCCTTACCCCATCCACACACTGACCTCCATTCTCACATCGGTGGTTGACACAGTCGTCCACGTTCTGGCTACAGTTAGGGCCTTCGTAACCTGTGAGAAGAGCAGGACAAAACATCTGGAATATCTGTGAGCAGGGGAGAACATGGAATATCTGTGAGCAGGGTATAACATAGAATATCTGTGAGCAGGGTATAACATGGAAAATCTGTGAGCAGGGTATAACATGGAATATCTGTGAGCAGGGGAGAACATGGAATATCTGTGAGCAGGGTATAACATGGAATATCTGTGAGCAGGGTATAACATGGAATATCTGTGAGCAGGGTATAACATGGAAAATCTGTGAGCAGGGTATAACATGGAATATCTGTGAGCAGGGGAGAACATGGAATATCTGTGAGCAGTGGAGAACATGGAATATCTGTGAGCAGTGGAGAACATGGAATATCTGTGTATGAGCATGGGAGAACATGGAATATCTGTGTATGAGCAGGGGAGAACATGGAATATCTGTGAGCAGTGGAGAACATGGAATATCTGTGTACGAGCATGGGAGAACATGGAATATCTGTGAGCATGGGAGAACATGGAATATCTGTGAGCAGGAGAGAACATGGAATATCTGTGAGCAGGGGAGAACATGGAATATCTGTGAGCAGGAGATAACATGGAATATCTGTGTATGAGCAGTGGAGAACATGGAATATCTGTGTATGAGCAGTGGAGAACATGGAATATCTGTGTATGAGCAGTGGAGAACATGGAATATCTGTGTATGAGCAGTGGAGAACATGGAATATCTGTGTATGAGCAGTGGAGAACATGGAATATCTGTGAGCAGTGGAGAACATGGAATATCTGTGTATGAGCATGGGAGAACATGGAATATCTGTGAGCATGGGAGAACATGGAATATCTGTGTATGAGCAGTGGAGAACATGGAATATCTGTGAGCAGGGGAGAACATGGAATATCTGTGAGCAGGGGAGAACATGGAATATCTGTGTATGAGCAGTGGAGAACATGGAATATCTGTGTATGAGCAGTGGAGAACATGGAATATCTGTGTATGAGCAGTGGAGAACATGGAATATCTGTGTATGAGCAGTGGAGAACATGGAATATCTGTGAGCAGGAGAGAACATGGAATATCTGTGAGCAGTGGAGAACATGGAATCTCTGTGTATGAGCAGTGGAGAACATGGAATATCTGTGTATGAGCAGGGGAGAACATGGAATATCTGTGAGCAGGAGAGAACATGGAATATCTGTGTATGAGCAGGGGAGAACATGGAATATCTGTAAGCAGTGGAGAACATAGAATATCTGTGAGCAGGGGAGAACATGGAATATCTGAGAGCAGGGGAGAACATGGAATATCTGAGAGCAGGGGAGAACATGGAATATCTGTGAGCAGGAGAGAACATGGAATATCTGAGAGCAGGGGAGAACATGGAATATCTGTGAGCAGGAGAGAACATGGAATATCTGAGAGCAGGGGAGAACATGGAATATCTGTGTATGAGCAGTGGAGAACATGGAATATCTGTGTATGAGCAGGAGAGAACATGGAATATCTGTGATATTATCTGTGTAAAATAAAAATCTCACCTGTATTACTACAGTTACAGGTGTATCCAACCACCTCATCTGTACAATGGCCTCCATTGTTGCATGGACTCGGCAGACAGTCGTTTACATTCTCCCCACATGTTTTGCCTTGCCAGTTAGGATTACAACGACACTGGAAACTGCCAGGTAAGTTTACACAAGTTCCTGAAAGTAGAAAAGTTAGGATTCTAACCATAACTGCTACAACCAGATCTGGTATTGTAGCCATCACAGTTTGGTCACGTCCAGTGCAAATATGCGTTTGACTCATCAGTCAATCGTTGAGAAAAAAAAGGGGAGTGGGTGGGGTAAGCGGAAAGAGGTGTCCCTGGAGTCTGCTGACAGTGACATATTCAAAGCCAGCAGTGAGTCATCATCAGCCTAGACCTAACCCCAGCTAGTCTAGTCAGTGTGTGCTGTGCTATAAACCAAACCCCAGCCAGTCTAGTCAGTGTGCGCTGTGCTATACACCAAGCCCCAGCCAGTCTAGTCAGTGTGTGTTGTGCTATACACCTAACCCCAGCTAGTCTAGTCAGTGTGTGATGTGCTATACACCTAACCCCAGTCAGTCTAGTCAATGTGTGATGTGCTATACACCTAACCCCAGCTAGTCTAGTCAGTGTGTGATGTGCTATACACCTAACCCCAGCCAGTCTAGTCAGTGTGTGATGTGCTATACACCTAACCCCAGCTAGTCTAGTCAGTGTGTGATGTGCTATACACCTAACCCCAGCCAGTCTAGTCAGTGTGTGTTGTGCTATACACCTAACCCAAGCCAGTCTAGTCAGTGTGTGATGTGCTATACACCTAACCCAAGCCAGTCTAGTCAATGTGTGATGTGCTATAAACCTAACCCAAGCCAGTCTAGTCAGTGTGTGATGTGCTATACACCTAACCCCAGCCAGTCTAGTCAGTGTGTGTTGTGCTATACACCTAACCCCAGCCAGTCTAGTCAGTGTGTGATGTGCTATACACCTAACCCCAGCCAGTCTAGTCTGTGTGTGATGTGCTATACACCTAACCCCAGCCAGTCTAGTCTGTGTGTGATGTGCTATACACCTATCCCCAGCCAGTCTAGTCTGTGTGTGTTGTGCTATACACCTAACCCCAGCCAGTCTAGTCAGTGTGTGATGTGCTATACACCTAACCCCAGCTAGTCTAGTCAGTGTGTGCTGTGCTATACACCTAACCCCAGCTAGTCTAGTCAGTGTGTGCTGTGCTATACACCAAACCCCAGCCATAGTCAGTGTGTGCTGTGCTATACACCAAACCCCAGCTAGTCTAGTCAGTGTGTGCTGTGCTATACACTTATCCCCAGCCAGTGTTGTACTAAATCATTATTCAATTATATCCTAAGATGTGTTTTTTGCAATGTGATTTTCCCAAGGCTGTTTTGCACATCCGACTGGTATTGGAGCAATGAAAATGGAAGGAGAACTCTACAACACATTTTCTGTGGAGGCAGTAGTGTGGTAGTGGGTGGGGGGATGGGGGGTTGGAGAAAGGAGAAAACCTTACTTTGATGTACCCAAATCTGTATTTTTTTCCTTCAGGATTTAGACAATTTGAAGATAAATCTGTCAGAGTTTGGGAGTTCCAAAAACCAGACACATCAGATTGTTTGACAGAATGACTCAGGTTGAGCCGTGGGAGAGCGCTCAACAAATACTAGGTGTCTACACTACTGGGGCAGACAGGACAGAAGACAGAAAGTAGAAATAAAGAAGACACATTTCAAGGATAACACTTTTCTGGTTAAAGACAACACCAGCCTAACCTCCATTAAAACATGGCTCCTGTCCGGTACATTCATCATCATCCTCATCACACAGGTATCCATGGTAACCAGTCTGGCTACAGTCACATGTGTAGTTGCCCAGTGCATTGACACACCGGCCACCATGTTGACACAGATCTTGCCCCAGAACACACTCGTCCACGTCCTGCCCACATTGTAGACCAATGTATCCTGTACCTGCCAACAGATTTGAATTCATTTAGAATCTTTTCATTTGTATGTGTGCCAGTCATGGACAATAAACAGATGTTCTGCAACACACTTACAACCTATGCACTTGTATGTGTGCCAGTCATGGACAATAAACAGATGTTCTGCAACACACTTACAACCTATGCACTTGTATGTGAGCCAGTCATGGACAATAAACAGATGTTCTGCAACACACTTACAACCTATGCACTTGTATGTGTGCCAGTCATGGACAATAAACAGATGTTCTGCAACACACTTACAACCTATGCATTTGTATGTGTGCCAGTCATGGACAATAAACAGATGTTCTGCAACACACTTACAACCTATGCATTTGTATGTGTGCCAGTCATGGACAATAAACAGATTTTCTGCAACACACTTACAACCTATGCATTTGTATGTGTGCCAGTCATGGACAATAAACAGATTGTTCTGCAACACACTTACAACCTATGCACTTGTATGGGTGCCAGTCATGGACAATAAACAGACGTTCTGCAACACACTTACAACCTATGCACTTGTATGGGTGCCAGTCATGGACAATAAACAGACGTTCTGCAACACACTTACAACCTATACACTTGTATGGGTGCCAGTCATGGACAATAAACAAACATTCTGCAACACACTTACAACCTATACACTTGTATGGGTGCCAGTCATGGACAATAAACAAACATTCTGCAACACACTTACAACCTATGCACTTGTATGGGTGCCAGTCATGGACAATAAACAGACGTTCTGCAACACACTTACAACCTATGCACTTGTATGTGTGCCAGTCATGGACAATAAACAGACGTTCTGCAACACACTTACAACCTATGCACTTGTATGGGTGCCAGTCATGGACAATAAACAGACGTTCTGCAACACACTTACAACCTATACACTTGTATGGGTGCCAGTCATGGACAATAAACAAACATTCTGCAACACACTTACAACCTATAAACTTGTATGGGTGCCAGTCATGGACAATAAACAAACATTCTGCAACACACTTACAACCTATACACTTGTATGGGTGCCAGTCATGGACAATAAACAAACATTCTGCAACACACTTACAACCTATAAACTTGTATGTGTGCCAGTCATGGACAATAAACAGATGTTCTGCAACACACTTACAACCTATATGACTGTATGTGTGCCAGTCATGGACAGTGAACAAATGTTCTAAAAACATGTACAACCTATATTACTGTATGTATGACAGTCATGGACAAATAAACAGATGTTCTGCAAAACAATTACAACCTATACTACTATATGTGTGTGAAGCATGGACAATAAGCAGGCATGTTGCAAAACATCAAACAGCAGCAGCAATTTAAGAACAACAAAAAAAAAAAAGGATTAGTGGGGGGGGGGGGGGGGGGAAATTTTAAGAATATTATAGACTGACAGGAAATCAAATTTGAAAACTTATTGATAACAGACAATCTTGGATGAGAAGGTGCAAGGGAACAGGGAAAAGTGGGGAGGGAAGGGGATAGATCTGGTCTGAGACTGGTAATTATGTCAGATCCTGAAATGTTTCTAGTTTATGGTTATCAGCACGACATATGATGCTGATGATGATAGTTTAAAACAAATTCCTATGAATGTCAAACCCTTCAGAGGCACACACACAAAAGCTACAGACATAATATGTGCCCACTTCGCCCCAGGGGAAGTCACTCTGGGAAACAAGTTGGAGTCTGTTGACAAGGAAATATCTAAAACCTGTGGAAGAAAGTATATCTTAGTGTATAAGACACATCCTTTTGTTCTCATAATAGGCCTTAAAATTAGGCTGTTTCTTATACAACTTACGTAGGCCTACAGGTACGATTATTTTTAATATGAAAGAAGAATAGTTTACGGCATTCCTACACTGAAAGTTGTAAACTCAAGGTGATTAAATATGCTGAAGAACATAGCAACAGTCAATAGAATATCATTTCAGACCTCCAATGAGCCAAAAGGAAAACCATAAGGATTTGCAGTCTGGGCAGATATTTTGTGCAGTTGGAACAAAAAAAAAATGTGCACAACATGAAACACATTACAAAATGACAAGAATTACAGACATGTACTGAAATGGGTGCAGAAATTAAATTTAAGTTTTTTTCTCATGGAAAATTTCTTTTAGATTTTGGTGTGCATCTGATTAAAGGGTTTATCTTATATATCAACACACAAGGTACAGCTAATCCTAGCAAGCCTGTATCTGTGGCATTGAATATTGACCTATCTCTATATCTGTAATGCTGAATCTTGACCTAACCCTAGTATCTGTGGCACTGGATATTGACCTATTTCTATATCTGTAATGCTGAATCTTGACCTAACCCTAGTATCTGTGGCATTGAATATTGACCTATCTCTATATCTGTAATGCTGAATCTTGACCTAACCCTAGTATCTGTGGCATTGAATATTGACCTATTTCTATATCTGTAATGCTGAATCTTGACCTAAACCTAGTATCTGTGGCACTGGATATTGACCTATCTCTACATCTGTAATGCTGAATCTTGACCTAACCCTAGTTTCTGTGGCACTGAATATTGACCTATCTCTACATCTGTAATGCTAAATCTTGACCTAATTCTAGTATCTGTGGCATTGGATATTGGCCCAATCCTATTATCTTTAGTCCTGAAACTAGACCCAGTCCTAGGATCTGTGATGCTGAATTTTCACCTAATCCTAGTATCTGCAGAAATGAATCTTGCTTGACCCAGCTGTAGTATCTACGATGCTCAATGAGGCAGCAAACAGAGCCTGATATGTCCCTCCCCAGATGAGCTGGTCCTGCACACGCCATCTAGGATCAGCTTACACAGAAAAACTTACGAACTTCACACAGTAGTACAAAATGAAGTTTCTTGATCAAACATGAAAACATGGACATTAAAACATGGATTTGAAAACATAGGACATAAAAACATGGACAGGATAACATGTACAGGAAAACACGGACAGGAAAACATGGACATGAAAACATGGACATGAAAACATAGGACAATGAAGCTACCTACAGCATACAGCATTCTACATGAAAGATCCAGCATGATCATGTTCCAACATTGAGGCTACCTACAACATTCTACATGAAAAATCCAGCATGAAGATGTTCCAACAATGAGGCTACCTACAACATTCTACATGAAAGATCCAGCATGATCATGTTCCAACAATGAGGCTACCTAGAGGCTATCCACAACATTCTACATGAAAGATCCAGCATGAACATGTTCCAACAATGAGGCTACCTACAACATTCTACATAAAAGATCCAGCATGAACATGTTCTGACAATGAGGCTACCTACAGCATTCTACATGAAAGATCCAGCATGAACATGTTCTGACAATGAGGCTACCTACAGCATTCTACATGAAAGATCCAGCATGATCATGTTCCAACAATGAAGCCACAAGAGTAACCTTGCCTCTTATTGTGGTACTGACTACATCATCCATGGAGTGGTTCTAACGGGTCTCTTGCTGGCATCAAATACCAAACAGGCTGAAGTTTTTGGAAAAGTTCGACCTCCATATTGTTGATGTCTTGTCCAGCAGATGTTAAGTGTGATAATTTTTAGTCTGCTCATTTTCATACAAAGTGACCTCGACCCCTGCACAGAAGTTTCTGGCACTCACCATAAGATTCAACACAAGACAATATGATGGTGACTGAGGAACCAACCTGTGCAGTTACAGACGTAGGAGGGAGAATGTGTGGTACACTCCTGCCTCTGCTTGCAGAGTTCTACCTGGCATGTTTCATTGTCCCAGCGACATGATGCTACAATGTCAGAACAACTGCACCGTCCTCGATATGAGCAGATGCCTCGGTTGCTGCATGGCTGAATGTAGCAGGAATCATTGATGATGCTGCAGTATTGGCCAGAGTACCTGTATGGGTGAACAGAGAGTCTTGCAAGTGCTGGTTCACATTCACAGTTTGGGTGGAAACAACCCAACAAGTGTGCTGGTATATGTTCACAGATCAGGGGAAACAACCACACAAGTGTGTTTGTTGGTCTGTGTTCACAGGTTAGGGGAAACAACCACACAAGTGTGCTGGTATATGTTCACAGATCAGGGGAAACAACCACACAAGTGTTTTGGTCTGTGTTCACAGGCCAGGGGAAACAACCACACAAGTGTGTTGGTCTGTGTTCACAGGTTAGGGGAAACAACCACACAAGTGTTTTGGTCTGTGTTTACAGGTTAGGGGAAACTACCACACAAGTGTTTTGGTCTGTGTTTACAGGTTAGGGGAAACAACCACACAAGTGTTTTGGTCTGTGTTTACAGGTTAGGGGAAACTACCACACAAGTGTGTTGGTCTGTGTTCACAGCTCAAGGAAAACAACCATACAAGTGTGCTGGTTCATGGGTCGACGGAAACAACCACAAAGTGGGCTGGTTCATGGGTCAGGGGAAACAACCACAAAGTGTGCTGGTTCATGTTCATGGGTCAGGGGAAACAAAAACACACATGGGCTGCCTCATCTTCACTTTCTCTTTTACCGTTTTTGATTTGGATGGATGAAAAAAAAAAAAGGAATCTCCAGCACTCAAGGCAGACGCCACGCCTCAAGACCACCCACACCCCCTCCCCCCACCAAATAGGTGATATGATCAGTACCATGCATAATAAGCTGCATACTTATTATGCATGGTACTGACCATATCACCTACTTTGGAAAGGGGGGGGGGGTGTGGTCTCGAGGCATGGCGTCTGCCTTGAGTGCTGGAGATTCCTTTTTTTTTTCATTTTAATATCTAGCATAATTTGTTAACTTTTTGGCTCAGTACTATGGATGTCGCAACCCTTAGACCTTGATTCCATGATAGATACCGTAAATCTGGGAAAGATGTGGATTTTCTGCCTACTCCCTGACGGGAACCTGGACCACAAGGAGTTCGTCACCCGGTCGCTGCACAGTCAGGTTTAGCCAACTGAGCTAGTGAGCCAGAGATGTTCTGGGTTTATGGCCCCAGTGAAGGCTGGGATTTTTTTCATGTGACATGTGGACAAATATCTGATCTCAGCAAGATGTTACAGTACAAACAGTTTAGCCTAGCAAAGATCTGATCTCAGCAAGATGTTACAGTACACAGAGTTTAGTCTAGCAAAGATCTGATCTCAGCAAGATGTTACAGTACACAGAGTTTAGTCTAGCAAAGATCTGATCTCAGCAAGATGTTACAGTACACAGAGTTTAGTCTAGCAAAGATCTGATCTCAGCAAGATGTTACAGTACACAGAGTTTAGTCTAGCTAAGATCTGATCTCAGCAAGATGTTACAGTACACAGAGTTTAGTCTAGCAAAGATCTGATCTCAGCAAGATGTTACAGTACACAGAGTTTAGTCTAGCTAAGATCTGATCTCAGCAAGATGTTACAGTACACAGAGTTTAGTCTAGCAAAGATCTGATCTCAGCAAGATGTTACAGTACACAGAGTTTAGTCTAGCAAAGATCTGATCTCAGCAAGATGTTACAGTACACAGAGTTTAGTCTAGCAAAGATCTGATCTCAGCAAGATGTTACAGTACACAGAGTTTAGTCTAGCAAAGATCTGATCTCAGCAAGATGTTACAGTACACAGAGTTTAGTCTAGCAAAGATCTGATCTCAGCAAGATGTTACAGTACACAGAGTTTAGTCTAGCAAAGATCTGATCTCAGCAAGATGTTACTGTACACAGAGTATAGCCTAGCAAAGATCTGATCTCAGCAAGATGTTACAGTACACAGAGTTTAGTCTAGCAAAGATCTGATCTCAGCAAGATGTTACAGTACACAGAGTTTAGTCTAGCAAAGATCTGATCTCAGCAAGATGTTACAGTACACAGAGTTTAGTCTAGCAAAGATCTGATCTCAGCAAGATGTTACAGTACACAGAGTTTAGCCTAGCAAAGATCTGATCTCAGCAAGATGTTACAGTACACAGAGTTTAGTCTAGCAAAGATCTGATCTCAGCAAGATGTTACAGTACACAGAGTTTAGTCTAGCAAAGATCTGATCTCAGCAAGATGTTACAGTACACAGTTTAACCTAGCAAAGATCTGATCTCAGCAAGATGTTACAGTACAAAGAGTTTAGCCTAGCAAAGATCTCAGCAAGGCTTTAGTTAAATCAGATGTGATCTTAGACTGACTTAAGTCTCACATTGCGCACACTGATGTGACCAGACTCAGATCACAACAATAGGACATCAATAATAGCCTTGTTGAAAATAACACCTTTTCTAAACAAGATTCTGTCCTACAAAGAGGCCTCATTCTGAGCAACTAAACTGCCAAGCAAAAGTCATGATTGCAACTCACAGATGTTTACCCATGTCAACAACTACAGACACTTACCCTAGTAAACAACTACTGACACACCCTGGTATACAACAACAACGTAAAACTGGTAAATAAATAGACACACCCTAGTAAATAGACAGAAACTTACTCTAGTAAATAGACAGACACTTACTATAGTAAATAGACAGACACTTACTATAGTAAATAGACAGACACTTCCTAGTAAACAGACAGACACTTACCCTAGTGAATAGACAGACACTTACCCTAGTAAAAAGACAGACACTTACCCTGGTAAACAGACAGACACTTACTCTAGTAAATAGACAGACACTTACCCTAGTAAATAGACAGACACTTACCCTAGTGAATAGACAGACACTTACCCTAGTAAATAGACAGACACTTACCCTAGTAAATAGACAGACACTTACCCTAGTGAATAGACAGACACTTACCCTAGTGAATAGACAGACACTTACCCTAGTAAATAGACAGACACTTACCCTAGTGAATAGACAGACACTTACCCTAGTGAATAGACAGACACTTACCCTAGTAAATAGACAGACACTTACCCTAGTGAATAGACAGACACTTACCCTAGTAAATAGACAGACACTTACCCTAGTAAATAGACAGACACTTACCCTAGTAAATAGACAGACACTTACCCTAGTAAATAGACAGACACTTACCCTAGTAAATAGACAGACACTTACCCTAGTAAATAGACAGACACTTACCCTAGTAAATAGACAGACACTTACCCTAGTAAATAGACAGACACTTACCCTAGTGAATAGACAGACACTTACCCTAGTAAATAGACAGACACTTACCCTAGTAAAAAGACAGACACTTACCCTAGTAAAAAGACAGACACTTACCCTAGTAAAAAGACAGACACTTACCCTAGTAAAAAGACAGACACTTACCCTAGTAAAAAGACAGACACTTACCCTAGTAAAAAGACAGACACTTACCCTAGTAAAAAGACAGACACTTACCCTAGTAAAAAGACAGACACTTACCCTAGTAAAAAGACAGACACTTACCCTAGTAAACAGACAGACACTTACCCTAGTAAATAGACAGACACTTACCCTAGTAAATAGACAGACACTTACCCTAGTGAATAGACAGACACTTACCCTAGTAAATAGACAGACACTTACCCTAGTAAATAGACAGACACTTACCCTAGTAAATAGACAGACACTTACCCTAGTAAATAGACAGACACTTACCCTAGTAAATAGACAGACACTTACCCTAGTAAATAGACAGACACTTACCCTAGTGAATAGACATACACTTACCCTAGTAAATAGACAGACACTTACCCTAGTAAAAAGACAGACACTTACCCTAGTGAATAGACAGACACTTACCCTAGTAAAAAGACAGACACTTACCCTAGTAAAAAGACAGACACTTACCCTAGTAAAAAGACAGACACTTACCCTAGTAAAAAGACAGACACTTACCCTAGTAAAAAGACAGACACTTACCCTGGTAAACAGGTGCAGGTGTAGTTGTTGACTCCATCCTGGCAAGTTGCTCCATTAGCACACTTGTTGGCCAGACAATCATTAATGTTTGTTTCACAGAATTTACCTGCCAAATGAAATGTGGCCAACTGTTGTAGAGTCATTAAAGATATAAATGCATTTTCTTGGACCATTTCATGAAAACTGTGAGTCAAATTTTAGTATACTATTAGTCCATTTAGGTAGTTCAAAGTCTGGCTGAATCTTATTTTATAACTTTGTGATGTTGGCAATTTTTTCTATCAATAGCCTTCCGCCTTATTTGCTTTAAATAATTTATTAAAACACTTTCTTCTAAGCCTCTATAGCAAACTTGCCAAAATTCTTTCTCTTAATTTCCCTCTAAGTTTCTCTCTAACGTTCCGGCTGCCACAAATGACTGGGCAGTGCGGTTATGCTACTCTTTTCAATTGATAACTGCCAAAAGATTTTTTCACGTGGGCATTCGATCTTACTACCCAGAGACCAATGACAATTACTAGTAATCTGGTAATCCTAGTTTCAGCTTTATAGCAATTACTAGAAGTCTATGTGAAAAAAATCTCAGCTTTCACAAGATCGCCAGCACTCGAGGCACATGCAATGACTCAAGACCAGTCAGCTCCTGTTCTCTCCAACATACAATGTAAAATCCCAGAGTTTGATTTCTCTCCAACATACAATGTAAAATCCCAGAGTTTGTTTTCTCTCCAACATACAATGTAAAATCCCAGAGTTTGTTTTCTCTCCAACATACAATGTAAAATCCCAGAGTTTGTTTTCTCTCCAACATGAATATTAGGGCACAGGAGATGTGAAATGTAGTTTCTCTAAATATCATTAAATATCACTTACAAAAAAATTACTACTCAAAGGAGGAACAACAGATTTAAGAAATGCAAACTCAAGTCTGTAAAATAAAAAAAAACAGAAGGGAAGTAACTGAAGTAAGAGATGTAGACTGACCTGTAAAGCCAAGAGAACACACACAAGTGTAGCTGTCTGTGACCCCTGCCCCAGCACTTGCTTCCCTGCACTGTGCTAGATTCAGGCAAGGATTGGATGTACATCCCCTGAGGTCTACTTCACAGACTCTACCGGTAAACCCCACAGCACAAACACAAGTGAAGTTGTTGACCAGGTCTGTACAGGTTCCACCATTCAAACACACGCTTGAGTTGCATTCGTTGATGTCAGACTCACAGAAGTCTCCTTGGAAGCCAGCCACACACTTACACATGAAGCCCCTTTCTGATGCAGCGGAAGCTTCCACACAAGTTCCATTATTTAAACATGGTAAGTGATCACATTTTCTGACATTGATCTCACAAAATCGACCCGTCTGCCCCTCATTACATAAACAGATCACTGAATCATTAGATGAAGAATTTGATGATGGATGAGATAATGAATTATTCAAACATGAAGCACCATTGAAGCAAGGGTTGTATGTACACTGATTGACTGGAGTTTCACAGTTGGTCCCAGTAAAGAGGATAGAACATGAGCAGGTGTACAGATCTTTTCTATTGTTACAAGTTCCGTTGTTTAAACAAGGTCTTGAAGAGCAGAAATCTGTTTTCTCACAGAAAACTCCAATAAATCCAACAGAACAGTTGCACAAATATTTGTCCACATCTAAAGCACAAGTAGAATTATTTCTGCAAGAATTATTTTTACAATAATCATAATTTTGGCACTGGGACCCAAAATAGGGTTGTACACACTGGCAAGTGAATGGCTCTGTGGCTAGTACAGACGAGCCACTGGCCGGTGAATGAGTAGCAGTGTTACCCCCAGCAGCAGCTGTTGGTGAGTGACAAGTTCCTCCATTGAAGCATTCACAAGAGTTTCCTATGTCACAATGTGCTCCAGAAAACCCTGGCTGGCAGAGACAAGTGAAATTGTTGAAACCACTGACACATGTGGCATTATTGATACAAGGCTGACTGTCACACAGATCCTGCAACTCATCACATCTCCTACCTGTGTAGCCAGGCAGACAATTGCAGATGTAATTTTCAGAATTAACCATCACACAAGACTTAGTACTATTTTTGAAGCACATGCTTTCATCACAGACATATAAAATGGTCTCACAAAATTGGCCTGTGTAGTTTTGTAGGCACTGGCAGTTGTAAGTAAGATGTCCGTCCTGGCAACTTCCACCATTTCTACAAGAATTGTTTCTGCAGTCATCAACACTGACTGCACAGTTAACCCCGTCCCAACCTTCCAAACACTGACAATCAAACGTATTCCACTCGTCCACACAGAACGAATTAGCTGGACATGAGTTCAGATCACAAACTGGGTCACTCTGACAACCACTGAGCAACCCTCCAGGGCTGACTGTGAGCCCTGGTCGATGTGGGTCATTTGCTGAGAGGGGAATGCTGACATTGTTGAAGTAAATCCCTCTTACGCAGCCTTTGAAGAACTCAGTTAGTGACGACAGATTTCCTAAGGGAGAGAAGGACAAACATGTAAGTTTAACATAATAGAGCTTTTACAACAAGCGCATTTATAGTTGAACTTATGCATTTGCCATCCACTTTTTTTGGGGGGGGGGGGGGGGGGGGGGGAGATGGGGGGGTGTTTTCCTGAATACATTTAAATACATTGCTGTATATAGATCAAATACAAACATTTTTTAAAAGATGTGTGTTTAAAATGGCTGAATGGGACGCAGTAAAAATAAAGTGCATTAATTCTCTCTGTGTTATGATAACTTTGGAAATCAATATGAGGTATAAGGTTTTTAGTTAATTTTTATATAACTGTTATGTTTATGATAATTTATGAACATTTGCATCCTAGAGAGAGAAAGAGAGAGAGAGGGAGAGAGAGAGAGAGAGAGAGAGAGAGAGAGAGAGAGAGAGAGAGAGAGAGAGAGAGAGAGAGAGAGAGAGAGAGAGAGAGAGAGAGAGAGAGAGAGAGAGAGAGAGAGAGAGGCTGTGTAACAATATTAAATGTGAGAATATTAGTGGAGACTGTCATGGGTGATTTCTGATGCTTGGGGTTGGGGAGTGGGGGGGGGGGGGGGGAGGGAGGATGTACAGCCCAAAATGTATCTGTAACAAACTTAATGAGTTTGCTCTGGCAACCCAAATTGCTTCTATCCCAATATCTCCCCCCAAACAGACAGTCCAATATTTTAGTGGGTGGTAGATAGGCTGCATGCAGTCAGTCGTGGGACCTAGGCTGCACTCTATCGTGGGACCTAGGCTGCACTCTATCGTGGGACCTAGGCTGCACTCTATCGTGGGACCTAGGCTGCACTCTATCATGGGACCTAGGCTGCACTCTCTCATGGGACCTAGGCTGCACTCTATCGTGAGACCTAGGCTGCACTCTCTCATGGGACCTAGGCTGCTCTCTATCGTGGGACCTAGGCTGCACTCTATCGTGGGACCTAGGCTGCACTCTCTCATGGGACCTAGGCTGCACTCTATGATGGGACCTAGGCTGCACTCTCTCATGGGACCTAGGCTGCACTCTCTCATGGGACCTAGGCTGCACTCTCTCATGGGACCTAGGCTGCACTCTATCATGGGACTTAGGCTGCACTCTAACGTGGGACCTAGGCTGCACTCTATCGTGGGACCTAGGCTGCACTCTCTCATGGGACCTAGGCTGCACTCTCTTGTGGGACATAGGTGGGTTGGGGTTAGGCCCAGTTCTAGATGTTTTGGGGTAGTTAAAAGCATGAGACAGCCGAGACACCCGCTCTTACCACCCTCAGCAATATTGTACTGTTCCATGACGTCATTCTGGGGGGAGATATCGGGAAAGCACCCACAAATCAAAACAGACAGCTTAGCTTAGAGTCACTTGTCTTCAAGCCACTGAGTTATCACAGATGGATAATACAATATTCTATACATGTTCCAATATGGACACCTGTAGTCATGTCCTCTCACTTTTACTCTCACACTGTTCAATCACTGCCCATGTTTCTGTATCATAGAACAATGTAAATGCTCAGAGTTGTTTCATTGCAAGAATCTGTTTCCTCAATCTTTCTGTGACCCTTACTATTCCTGCTATTACTGGTTATAATGTGCTTTATCTTATGTTTTTTTTAAATGCACCAACCATTTTTTTCAAATGCCTGTCAGATTTTTCATAGCCAAACGTCAAGAGGTACCCCAACCTTCCCCCCCTGGGGTACCCCCCCCCCTCCCCCCCCGAGGTACCCCAACCTCCCCCCCCCGAGGTACCCCAACCTCCCCCCTCCCCCCCTCCCCGAGGTACCCCAACCTCCCCCCCCCTCCCCCCCCCCGGACATGCAGAACATTCATATTTGAACAAACCTGACCAGTCATTTCTGAGGTCACTCACCTGGAGGCTGTGGTTTGGCACCAACAATGACCTCCATTTTATCATCGACCATGGCTTGATAAGGATCAAATCCTGCCTGCAGGAAAAATGGAGAACTGTCCAGTTTTAATTCCAAGTTGGTGGCATCCCTGGTCCAGGACAGAGAATGCCATTGGCCATCAGAAACGATGTTTGTCTCAACTGTGGCTGTAAAGATAAATCAATCATAAGATCAAAAGTCAGTTTATTCATGTTTCTCTATTGTTATCTTCAGCACAGGTGGATGTGGAGAAACAAGATTTACTCTTCAGGGCCAGAGAACTGCCCCCCTTTGTTGCCATCCACACGAAACTCCGTAGCTACGTAGCTTCCATTACCTAGAGGCTGGGTGAGCCCCAGGAACCGCCTGGTTTCGAACACTGGCTGTGAGCAACTGTGAGTCTCAACTGGATTTTAAAGTCAGTCTCCTATCGACTTCTTCACTAATGCGGCCCCCTTGGGTCAAAGTCAAAGAAAAATCTGACGGACAGGACCAAAATTAAAGCTTATGAAGCCTGAGTCCTGATCATGCTCCTTTAGAGTGATGGAACCTGGACTCTGTGTGATCCTTCAGGAATGGCAACATTGTATTTCTACTGGAGCAAAAACACCTGCATTGGTTGGGACATGACTCTCACATGGAGGACGGTTGCGTTACAAAGAATCACCTATTTGGCAAAGTGGTAATGGGGAAAAGACCTGCAGGAAGGCCAAAGCTACTCTATATGGACATATGCAAACATGGCCAGAAAGTTATCTACACTGACACAGACACTTAGGAGAGATCAGCTGCAGACCGACTCCTTTAGAGGCAGACAGGGAAAGATGGACTGTCAAAGTTGGCTAGAGGCCAAATGCATCAAGCTTTAGAGAGGAGACGTCTGAGAGAAAACCAGCCTTAGAACAACAGTGTATCAACGTTTGTGTGTGGACTATGTGGCAGGGACTGCCATTCCAACAGTGGACTTCACAGTCACAGCAGACACTGTCTCCAACAACAGTGGACTTCACAGTCACAGCAGACACTGTCTCCAACAACAGTGGACTTCACAGTCACAGCAGACACTGTCTCCAACAACAGTGGACTTCAGTCACAGCAGAAGCTGTCTGCAACACCACTGGCACAACAGCACGGTCCCCAGGTAATGGCGGTTGCCTACTAATGTGGCAGTGCACAAAGTTTTATGACAAGGCACTGAAAAACTGAAATTCGAATTTATAGTATAATTGTGAATAAATTAATTTCTTCTTTATGTCTACCTAGTTGGGTTCCAGTTTAACCCTCACACACGAATCAGTGTTATTTGTGAAACACATGCTCTCTTCACAGACATCCAAACTAGACAGTCAAATAAAGGTAACTTCAACAAACTTTTCAGTAGCTTAATTTTTCCTAAATGCAGGATACTACATCAATCTTGGGGCCCCATCATTTTTCTTTCTCCAGTAAGTATGGTGAGCCTCAAACAGTCACACAAGCCAAACCTCTCCTGGAATGAATGGATACAGTTTGTAGTTAACAATCACTTTTCCATTTAAGGAGTTACAAAAGGTTACCATTTCTGATGCTAGAGAAGATGTAGAGCTTTCCTCCAGAGATGCCAAACTGGATAAAACTGTCTGCTTGCCCCTGCTGGCTCAGAAACTGTATCAACATGAGTGTGGATGTTGTGTCCCGTGTGCGGAACTGGATGCTGCCGGATTCACCAAAAGGGACCTTGGTCCTGTCCAGGTGCAGACGGGAATAGCTGGAGTTGCCAGTAAAGCTAGTCTCTGCTGCTGAAGAGTCAATCGGACACATTCTGATTGGTCAGCAACACATAACACAAGGGGATGATGATGAAAAATACTAGAGGGAATGCTGACATTATTCATAAGTCTGAAATACATGTTAGACTGGATGAGAGCAGCTGACCCTAAATGCACACGTGGACTGTTGATTTGGCTCTTTTAACAATATTTCACCAGTGTCAAGGCTGATGGAACAAGACTGGCTTGACACATGACCAATCAATTCAAGACTGGCTTGACACATGACCAATCAATTCAAGACTGGCTTGACACATGACCAGTCAATACAAGACTGGCTTGACACATGACCAGTCAATACAAGATTAGCTTGACACATGACCAGTCAATACAAGACTGGCTTGACACATGACCAGTCAATACAAGATTAGCTTGACACATGACCAGTCAATACAAGACTGGCTTGACACATGACCAGTCAATACAAGACTGGCTTGACACATGACCAGTCAATACAAGACTGGCTTGACACATGACCAGTCAATACAAGACTGGCTTGACACATGACCAGTCAATACAAGACTGGCTTGACACATGACCAGTCAATACAAGATTGGCTTGACACATGACCAGTCAATACAAGATTGGCTTGACACATGACCAGTCAATACAAGATTGGCTTGACACATGACCAGTCAATACAAGACTGGCTTGACACATGATCAGTCAATACAAGATTGGCTTGACACATGACCAGTCAATACAAGATTGGCTTGACACATGACCAATCAATACAAGACTGGCTTGACACATGACCAGTCAAAACAAGACTGGCTTGACACATGACCAGTTGATACAAGACTGGCTTGACACATGACCAGTCAATACAAGATTGGCTTGACACATGACCAGTCAAAACAAGACTGGCTTGACACATGATCAGTCAATACAAGATTGGCTTGACACATGACCAGTCAATACAAGATTGGCTTGACACATGACCAATCAATACAAGACTGGCTTGACACATGACCAGTCAAAACAAGACTGGCTTGACACATGACCAGTCAATACAAGATTGGCTTGACACATGACCAGTCAATACAAGACTGGCTTGACACATGACCAGTCGATACAAGACTGGCTTGACACATGACCAGTCAAAACAAGACTGGCTTGACACATGACCAGTCAATACAAGATTGGCTTGACACATGACCAGTCAATACAAGACTGGCTTGACACATGACCAGTCAATACAAGACTGGCTTGACACATGACCAGTCAATACAAGACTGGCTTGACACATGACCAGTCAATACAAGACTGGCTTGACACATGACCAGTCAATACAAGACTGGCTTGACACATGACCAGTTGATACAAGACTGGCTTGACACATGACCAGTCAATACAAGACTGGCTTGACACATGACCAGTCGATACAAGACTGGCTTGGCACATGACCAGTCAAAACAAGACTGGCTTGACACATGACCAGTCAAAACAAGACTGGCTTGACACATGACCAGTCAAAACAAGACTGGCTTGACACATGACCAGTCAATACAAGACTGGCTTGACACATGACCAGTCAATACAAGACTGGCTTGACACATGACCAGTCAAAACAAGACTGGCTTGACACATGACCAGTCAATACAAGACTGGCTTGACACATGACCAGTCAATACAAGACTGGCTTGACACATGACCAGTCAATACGAGACTGGCTTGACACATGACCAGTCAAAACAAGACTGGCTTGACACATGACCAGTCAATACAAGACTGGCTTGACACATGACCAGTCAAAACAAGACTGGCTTGACACATGACCAGTCAAAACAAGACTGGCTTGACACATGACCAGTCAAAACAAGACTGGCTTGACACATGACCAGTCAAAACAAGACTGGCTTGACACATGACCAGTCAAAACAAGACTGGCTTGACACATGACCAGTCAATACAAGACTGGCTTGACACATGACCAGTCAATACAAGACTGGCTTGACACATGACCAGTCAATACAAGACTGGCTTGACACATGACCAGTCAATACAAGACTGGCTTGACACATGACCAGTCAAAACAAGACTGGCTTGACACATGACCAGTCAATACAAGACTGGCTTGACACATGACCAGTCAAAACAAGACTGGCTTGACACATGACCAGTCAAAACAAGACTGGCTTGACACATGACCAGTCAAAACAAGACTGGCTTGACACATGACCAGTCAAAACAAGACTGGCTTGACACATGACCAGTCAATACAAGACTGGCTTGACACATGACCAGTCAATACAAGACTGGCTTGACACATGACCAGTCAATACAAGACTGGCTTGACACATGACCAGTCAATACAAGACTGGCTTGGCACATGACCAGTCAATACAAGACTGGCTTGACACATGACCAGTCAAAGCAAGACTGGCTTGACACATGACCAGTCAATACAAGACTGGCTTGACACATGACCAGTCAATACAAGACTGGCTTGACACATGACCAGTCAATACAAGACTGGCTTGACACATGACCAGTCGATACAAGACTGGCTTGACACATGACCAGTCAATGTCTTCTTATATTCTCTTGTCTTCTGTGATTGTCAGTGAGTACTTTTTTCAGTTCACGTGAGCATGCAATCACACGTAGGTAAAATATGGATGACATGCTGGCACTCGGGACAGAGGGGTAACAGATAAAAGTACAAGTCTTGTCCTAAGTTTATTGATCCCAGAAAATTCATGTCATTGTGTTTGTCAGCATGTGTTTAGTATCGGAACTCTTCGCTGGCTGCTGAAGATGGGGACGGAGCGCTTATGGGAATGCCTCGAGTGCTGTGATGTCGGTTCTTCAATCAAATCAAATCAGCATGTGTTTAATATGTGTGTTGTGTACTGATGTCAGTATGTGTTTAATATGTGAATTGTGTATTGATATCAGACGTGTGGCTACAGCCACAGTTGACTTGACAGTTTGTTTCCGCCAATCATGGCATGGAATAAGTTTGGCTCCCATGTCAACCCAGGGTTGAATGACTACATCATCCACCCAGTGCCGACTAGTTTGTAAAATAAATATCTAGCGCTATGTGCCCAATATGCCTGAAGATGTGGAAAACAATGCTTTACTTTTTAAACTGTTTATAGAGTCCTGGAGGTAATAGTGGTTTGATGTTTATAGAGTCCTGGAGGTAATAGTGGTTTGATGTTTAAAGAGTCTTGGAGGTGATAGTGGTTTGATGTTTATAGAGTCCTGGAGGTAATAGTGGTTTGATGTTTATAGAGTCTTGGAGGTGATAGTGGTTTGATGTTTATAGAGTCCTGGAGGTAATAGTGGTTTGATGTTTATAGAGTCCTGGAGGTAATAGTGGTTTGATGTTTATAGAGTCTTGGAGGTGATAGTGGTTTGATGTTTATAGAATCTAGGAGTTATGCCTCAGTCAGGGTGACCTGAAGACACAAGTGGCTTGTATTCTCCACTTAGAGAGGCTTTCTCTCAAATGTAAAATTCCATTCCTGTCTTGCAGATACCACTGATTTACTGACTGATAGGCTCAAAGAGGGGCAGGGTTGCTCTGCAACATGGACCCTGTGGGAAAAGTTTGTTGCTACCAGGTTGAAAGATATGTCTTGGTCTACACTAAACTCATTCCAATATATATCTACTTTCCAGGACTAACACAGCCACATCATGAACACTTCTACTCCAACTTCAGTGGTTCCACTCATCTACTAAAGATTTTAACAAACAACCACAATCTATCTAAATATTAATATTTGTAAAATATATATTTAGCCAGTTGTGCTGTCTTTATGAAAGAATGAGAAGTGGTCAAAATATTTGTACTTTTATACAATCACTGACACATAACAAGAATTTGTACACAGTGTTACCATGGAAACATCAATGCTTACCCTGTGAGCAACTGTCTCCCGTGTAACTCTCCTCACACGCACATTCTGGCCCTGTCCAGCTGCCCACACAAACTCCATGCCCACAAGATGTTGCCAGGCAGGCCTCCACTTTTGCACACCCTGGTCTAGCTTGTGATAGACGACTGTTTGAAACTGGAGTGCTTGCAGACAGATCTAGGGGTGCCTCATTGATTGTGACATCACGAATACATCCTAGCACGCTTCAAATTAAACAGGCATCTGAGTTTAAATATCTGGGAACTAAATTTACCAAAGATGGGAAATTGGATAAAGAAATTAACATTAGATGCAATAAAGCAAACCAAGTATTGGGACAGCTAGCTCCCCTCTTACAGCATAAGACAATCCCAATCAGCACAAAGAGACATCTTATTCAAAGCATATTTATTCCAACTCTGTGCTACAAGTGCCAGACATGGTCACTCACAACAAACCATAAAAGAAAATTAGTAACCATGGAAATGAGATGTCTGAGAAGGGCTATGGGAGTGACCATAAGAGATAAGATCAGGAATGAGATCATGAGAGAAAAAGTCAGCACAGAACCAATTCTAAATTACATACGAAGACAGCAGGTGAAATGGTTTGCCTACTTAGAGAGAATGCCTTGTGACATCATACCATACAAAGCATACATGGAAAGAGAAGAAGGATGTAGAGCATGAGGTAGACCAAGAACAAGATGGAAGGATAACATCAGAGAAACTCTACAACAGCACGATGTGCCTATGGTCGAGGCGGCCAGAAGAGCTAGAGACAGAACCTTATATCTCTCTCGACACCCACAGCGGTAAAAGAGGAAGTGAAGAAGAAGAAGAAGAATAGTGAAAAATTATTTTATGCATGTGACAAACATCCAGATTCTTGATCTCCAGCAGCAATTGTCTCAAGGTGCAGATGCTGACTGCTGCACTAGCTCATTGGTTGTGCTCATGTGGTTCTTTATTTCCCTCATTTGTGCTTTCTTGTTGGACCCATAACTAAATTCAAATGTGTGCATTCTTACACAAGGTGTTTCATGAATGAATGTCAAATGTTGAGTTAGGGATCTAGATCACAGCATTTAGGGCATTCCCATATTTGCTCTGTCTTCATCTTCAGCAGCAAGTGCCAATTTTGATGGCACCAGTAACAGTCTGATTTTAGATCTATCTTGTCTTTTTCCTCACAGTATCATTCTTCTCAAACCATGATGATCTGCTTGTACCTCCGTACTGTTCACCAAGTTATTTTTTTAAGATTGTATCTTCCATCAACATCATTTGTAAATCCTCAATAATGAATCAACAAACAAGATATTTCCCTGAGGCCTCAATGATGTATGTAGTTCTACAGAAGAAAGATGAAAATCTACTTACTGAACAACCAAATATTTAATCTCAAAGTTTTGACGGAGGCCTAGGAACAAAGACAACTGATCACAAACATCAGAAGGAGACTTATCATAATGTGGCCACATAATAAGTAAGACCTTTAAGATGTTGTAGCAACAAGATAGTGCATAATACAATCTTTATCATACATATAAATAATAATATAATGTATCAAACATATAAACTATTGTAAACTTCTACCTTTGAGCAGGCAGTTGAATGTTGCTACTTCTCCATTTGTCTGTGGCAGAGCTTGTGAGTAACGCTCCCAGAAAGAGAGACCCAGTCTGAAGAACATTAGCCGTGGTGTTGCCAGCCACGGACCCCAGTGAGATGGACATGTTGGACGTTACTGTGAAGAAACACAAGAACATTAGCCGTGATGTTGCCAGCCACAGACCCCAGTGAGATGGACATGTTGGACGTTACTGTGAAGAAACACAAGAACATTAGCCGTGATGTTGCCAGCCACAGACCCCAGTGAGATGGACATGTTGGACGTTACTGTGAAGAAACACAAGAACATTAGCCATGGTGTTGCCAGCCACGGACCCCAGTGAGATGGACATGTTGGACGTTACTGTGAAGAAACACAAGAACATTAGCCGTGATGTTGCCAGCCACGGACCCCAGTGAGATGGACATGTTGGACGTTACTGTGAAGAAACACAAGAACATTAGCCGTGATGTTGCCAGCCACGGACCCCAGTGAGATGGACATGTTGGACGTTACTGTGAAGACAAACATGCACAGTCTACATCAAGTCTATGTCTCACAGTCTATGTTAGATAGAGTTAGTTGTCTCCACTAGGCAAGAGCTGTTGTTTTATTATTATTACTCTTATAATTATGGTACTGTTACTGCTATTCTTATTGCAAGCATTATTATTTTTGTTATCATAATTCTTGTTGTTACCATTTACTTAATGTTGCTATTACTTAATGTTGCTATTACCTAATGTTTCTATTACTTAATGTTGCTATTACTTAATATTGTTATTATTGATAGCTGTTGTTAAAATTATTATTGGAAGCAATTTACAAATAACAAAACAGACATAACAAGTGACAAACAACAGGTCAAGGTCACCTTGCACTGTGTATGTGTTGTTGAGGATCTTTAAACTGACCCTGACCCAGTCCTGCAGGTCAAGGTCACTAGCCACTTTAGCAGTTAGGACAGTGCTAGAGTTGTGAAGGATCAAGTGCATCACTAGCTGACCATTGTCCAAACTCAAGCTCAGACCATCCATAGTCACCTAAAGACATATCAATCTGTATTAATTAAAAAATCATCACAAAACAGTCATACAAAATGTAACCCTTTCAGACAAGTCACCATGATTTTATTCTTTACCCATTACAGGATATACTTTTCTGAACTCATTAGTCGTCATTAAGCCGGTACAGTCGTCATTTCTCTTCCACACTTGTATTTGAACTCAATAGTCTTCTTTCATCCCGGTACAGTGGCCATTTCTCTTTCATACTTGTACTTAAACTCATTAATCTTCATTAGGCTGGTACAGTGGCCTTTTCTCTTCCACACATGTACTTAAACTCATTAGTCTTCTTTCATTCAGTACAGTCACCATTTCTATTCAACACTTGTACTTTAACTCATTATTCTTCATTCATCCGGTACAGTTGAGGTTTGCATGTGTGTATGCATGTGTGTCCCTGTGTATGTGAATGTTTGCATGTGTGTCCCTGTGTATGTGAATGTTTGCATGTGTGTCCCTGTGTATGTGAATGTTTGCATGTGTGTATGCATGTGTGTCCCTGTGTATGTGAATGTTTGCATGTGTGTATGCATGTGTGTCCCTGTGTATGTGAATGTTTGCATGTGTGTATGCATGTGTGTCCCTGTGTATGTGAATGTTTGCATGTGCGCCTGTGAGCATACATGTGTGCATGTTTGTGTGATGACTTGGCTGACATATTGAATGCTCTCAGAGAGACAGAATGGTTAAAGAAGTGATGAGTGAATCTAAATTACTAATCAGGCTTAAAGCACATCAAGTAAGAAATGTTGAAGCCAGACAATACTTCTGGGCAGGGTAGGTGAGCAAAGAAGAATAGTAAAACCAAACAATAAAGGTACAGATCATGAATCTCACCTCATCTCATTCGGCTACTGATTTTATATTCTTTTCCATGGGCTGTCCTATGATCTGAGAGGGGGGGGGGGGGGGGGGGGGGGGGGGGGGGGGGGGGTGGGGTGGGGGGGGGGGGGGGGGGGGGGGGGGGGGGGGGGGGGGGGGGGGTTTGGGGGGGGGGGGGGGGGGGGGGGTCAAGTTTTGCTTGTTTTGAACAATTCAAACACATCTACTATCAAGGACAGCCACTGTCAACATGTGAAAAAATACACACACACAAAAATGATTCGATATTCACGAACCATTGCGCCTTCCATGCTTTACCCCGCAGTACTTCATCCTTGCACACAGGTGCCCACAGTACTTCATCCTTGCACACAGGTGCCCACAGTACTTCATCCTTGCACACAGGTGCCCACAGTACTTCATCCTTGCACACAGGTGCCCACAGTACTTCATCCTTGCACACAGGTGTCTGCAGTACTTCATCCTTGCACACAGGTGCCCACAGTACTTCATCCTTGCACACAGGTGCCCACAGTACTTCATCCTTGCACACAGGTGCCCACAGTACTTCATCCTTGCACACAGGTGCCCACAGTACTTCATCCTTGCACACAGGTGCCCACAGTACTTCATCCTTGCACACAGGTGCCCACAGTACTTCATCCTTGCACACAGGTGCCCACAGTACTTCATCCTTGCACACAGGTGCCCACAGTACTTCATCCTTGCACACAGGTGCCCGCAGTACTTCATCCTTGCACACAGGTGCCCGCAGTACTTCATCCTTGCACACAGGTGCCCACAGTACTTCATCCTTGCACACAGGTGCCCACAGTACTTCATCCTTGCACACAGGTGCCTGCAGTACTTCATCCTTGCACACAAGTGCCTGCAGCTCCTGTGCTATTCATAAGAACACATTCCACAAACATTCAATCACAGAAAATAACAGTTTCGACAAGAAATCTGACCACTGTCATCCGGGACACAATGTGTTGACCAGCACGTCAAATGAACCCAGGTTAGTTTTCAGCAAGGAATCTTCTAACACCCCTAGAACACAGGACAACCCGTGGGAAAGAATACGAAATCACCTGGCCAATTAAGATGGGGTGACTAGCACTAAAAAAACTTATGTTATCAGACATAGAAAGAAAGAAAGAAAGGAAAGAAAGAAGAAAGAAAGAAAGAAAAGAAAGAAAAAAAAGAAAAGAAAGAAAGAAAGAAAGAAAGAAAGAAAGAAAGAAAGAAAGAAAGAAAGAAAGAAAGAAAGAAAGAAAGAAAGAAAGAAAGAAAAGAAAGAAAGAAAAAGAAAGAAAAGAAAGAAAGAAAGAAAGAAAGAAAAGAAAGAAAGAAAGAAAGAAAGAAAGAAAGAAAGAAAGAAAGAAAGAAAAAAGAAAGAAAGAAAGAAAGAAGAAAGAAAGAAAGAAAGAAAGAAAGAAAGAAAAGAAAGAAAGAAAGAAAGAAAGAAAGAAAGAAAGAAGAAAGAAAGAAAGAAAGAAAGAAAGAAAGAAAGAAAGAAAGAAAGAAAGAAAGAAAGAAAGAAAGAAAGAAAGAAAGAAAGAAAGAAAGAAAGAAAGAAAGAAAGAAAGAAAGAAAGAAAGAAAGATAGAAGAAAGAAAGAATTGAAGGACAGATGAAGAAGGGAAGGAGAAACCACAGGAGGAAGGGAGAAAGGAAAGAAGGAAGTTGAAAATAAAAAAAATAAAAATATTCAGACAGCTGGGAAAAAAAACTAGTAATCAAAATGTATCATTCAACAGAAAAACAATAGTCAGTTATGAAACACAAAAAGTCTAAAAACAAAAAAAAAAAGACCCAATAAATATGAAAAAAACACAAAACACAAACAACTCACAGTATACAAGATCAATCCACTAGAGTTGGCCGCTGTGAGCCAGAGCTCCAGTTCTGTGATGGCCAGGTTTACATCAAAGTGAAGCATGCTGTTGTTTTCAAAGTGGGCCATGTTTTGGAACCCACAGGCGGGGCCAGAAAAGCCAGGCAGACAGTCACAAATCTTGCTGACCCATAAATCTCGGCATGTCCCACCATGAGCACAAACACCATCCTGGCATGGTATGTGCGTCTCGCAGCCATAAGCTGGTGCCGTTCCGTTTGTGCCATGAGCTTGTGTGAACTGCGAAGCATCTGCCAGGTTGACCAACTGACCATTGACCATGAAGTTCTGCATTCAATGTAAAACATGAAACACGACACAGTCTATATGTACGTGGCAGTAGAAACATGGTCAAACTGTTCCCTGCATGCTCTGAAGGTGATGGATTCCCCCCTTACCCCCTCCCCCCCCCCCCCCCACAAAGGAATTTGCTATTCATTTCATTAACAATATTTATTTGATCCCTGTGGTATAGATATCTCTTAATACTGATAGAGAACTAGCTCATAAACAGTTTTATTTCTCCTCAATTGAAATACTTCAGCCATATTACATAGGATAATAGGCTGGAGCAAACATGGGTTAGAGAGTATATTTCCTGGCAGACGAGGTGGCAACCAGCACCAGTGGCTTTCTGGCCTATATTGTGATGACAGCCATGTTGTTTACAAATCATGCTACACAATGATGATCATATATATATATAATGAAGATTTTTTTATATATATTTTAACAAGATAAACACTGCAGACAATGTCAGAATTGAACGAAACTTAACCATTGAACTATGTACATTTTATGTATATGTATATACACTAGTTTACAGACAGTGACGTATTATCATTGCCATTGTTCTCTTGTGCCATTATGTGTTTCACACTGGACTCTCTGTCTACCCCTTTATTATGTTCTATCCTGTACAACCCCATCAATATCTGTTCTATCCCATACAACCCCATCAATATCTGTTCTATGCCATACAACCCCATCAATATCTGTTCTATCCCGTACAACCCCATCAATATCTGTTCTATCCCATACAACCCCATCAATATCTGTTCTATGCCATACAACCCCATCAATATCTGTTCTATGCCATACAACCCCATCAATATCTGTTCTTTGCCATACAACCCCATCAATATCTGTTCTATGCCATACAACCCCATCAATATATGTTCTATCCCGTACAACCCCATCAATATCTGTTCTATCATGTACAATCCCATCAATATCTGTTCTATCCCATACAACCCCTTCAATATCTGTTCTATCCCGTACAACCCCCATCAATATCTGTTCTATCCCATACAACCCCCATCAATATCTGTTCTATCCCGTACAACCCCATCAATATCTGTTCTATCCCGTACAACCCCATCAATATCTGTTCTATCCCATACAACCCCATCAATATCTGTTCTATCCCGTACAACCCCATCAATATCTGTTCTATCCCGTACAACCCCATCAATATCTGTTCTATCTGTACAAACCCCATCAATATCTGTTCTATCCCGTACAACCCCATCAATATATGTTCTATCCCGTACAACCCCATCAATATCTGTTCTATCACGTACAACCCCATCAATATCTGTTCTATCTCGTACAACCCCATCAATATCTGTTCTATCCCTACAACCCCATCAATATCTGTTCTATCCCTACAACCCCATCAATATCTGTTCTATCCCGTACAACCCCATCAATATCTCTTCTATCTCGTACAACCCCATCGATATCTGTTCTATCCCGTACAACCCCATCAATATCTGTTCTATCCCATACAACCCCATCAATATCTGTTCTTTCCCGTACAACCCCATCGATATCTGTTCTATCCCGTACAACCCTATCAATATGGTGAATAGAATCCAGTCCAGAAACTTTGGCCCCTATCATCAAGATTCCTTTTTTTATATCATGGTTTATTTAATCCATTTTTTCCTATTTAAGTGCCTGTCTGGAGATTTTCTGCTTAATTCTGTTTTCAGTGTGTTTAATATAGTAGCCTACCATCTTCTTTGTCTTATAACTGTTGTTACTGGTAGTTGTCTAAACATTTGTCTAATTTCTGGACTCCTCCTGAATTTATCCCATTTTATGTTCAATATTTTCCTCAAGCATTTGTTTTTAAATGCATTTAATCTTTGCTCTATGTCTGTGGTGGTTTTTCAAATTTTACTGGCATATGTTACTATTGAAATAACATTACAATTGAAAATACACAACTTTGTTTTAAAATTACACAATTTATAGTGTTTTTTTTTGCTCAGGTTTTTAAAAGCAGCTGATGTGCCTTGTCAATGTGTGTCATAATTTCTTTCTTTGGGTTTCCTTCACTATCAAAATTACTACCTGAATAAGGTAAATTGATCTGTTACTTTTAGTTCTTTTTGTCTCTAGTGTTACATCTGCATGATCTGTTGTCAGTATCTTCAATATATTTGTCTCTAGTTTTACAAATGCATGATCTGTTGTTGGTATCTTCAATATATTTGTCTCTAGTGTTACATCTGCATGATCTGTTGCTGGTATTTTTAATATATTTGTCTCTAGTGTTACATCTGCATGATCTGTTGTTGGTATCTTCAATATATTTGTCTCTAGTGTTACATCTGCATGATCTGTTGTTGGTATCTTCAATATATTTGTCTCCAGTGTTACATCTGCATGATCTGTTGTCAGTATCTTCAATATATTTGTCTCTAGTGTTACATCTGATTGATCTGTTGTTGGTATCTTCAATATATTTGTCTCTAGTGTTACATCTGCACGATCTGTTGTCAGTATCTTCAATATATTTGTCTCTAGTGTTACATCTGCATGATCTGTTGTTGGTATTTTTAATATATTTGTCTCTAGTGTTACATCTGCATGATCTGTTGTTGGTATCTTCAATATATTTGTCTCTAGTGTTACATCTGCATGATCTGTTGTTGGTATCTTCAATATATTTGTCTCTAGTGTTACATCTGCATGATCTGTTGTTGGTATCTTCAATATATTTGTCTCTAGTGTTACATCTGCATGATCTGTTGTTGGTATCTTCAATATATTTGCTTTTCATTTTTCATAACTTAATTTTAGGCCAACTCTTGATGCTATATTTGTGAAATCATCTGCCTTCGTTTGCATAACAACATAATGATGTATGCTGGGTAACTAAATATTCATTTTCATTAGACCTCATAAACATTTCTAATTTTATAAAATTTAAAAAAAAGGTTCAGACAGATAATCATTCATAAGCTTTATGCAGTATTTATAAAGATACATAGAAATACCCAGTAAGCCATCTTCACACGCACACACACATTCATAAACACATGTGCACCTACCCCAAGACATCCTGTATATCCACCAACATCCTGTACAAGGCTTCTCAAGTAGGCAGTAAAGTTGGCCACACCCCCAAAATGGACAGTCCCATTGAGATACCAAGTGGCTATATTCTCAAATGTTAGATTCACTGACAAACAGCTGCCACTGCGAGAATTACAAGTACTTGGATCCAGTTTCAAATCTAATCCAGCATTTCTTATAGTCAGTTGTATCATGTGACTATGGATGGCTGTGTTTTGATTGCTTAGTGTAACAGAGCCTCGAAGAAGCTGCTGTCCATTAGTGGCCGAGAGATGGAGGACAGACTTACGGAGTTCCAGCACAATGTTCTGGGGATGGCCTGAGCTGCTTATCTGTGAAAAAATTTTGTTAACTTATTTTTGAGGAATGAGAGGAAAATACAATCTGGGACATAACTGAAAGATTATACATATAGTCTTGTTACTTCCTGAGAGCAACACGGCAGTGTTGAAATGCCAGAGTGACGTGATCTGGGTAATCATATAACTTTTAATAAGTGTTATAATGTATGTTATAATATTCTAGCTTATTGAATTGTGAAGGCAAAGTTTGTGAATGTAGGATGACCTACATCCTGAGCTAGGGAAAATGTTGACACAAGATCAATGGCTCCACTCCTACAGAATAGGATCAATGGCTCCACTCCAACAGAATAAGATCAATGGCTCCACTCATACAGAATAAGATCAATGGCTCCACTCCTACAGAATAGGATCAATGGCTCCACTCCTACAGAATAGGATCAATGGCTCCACTCCTACAGAAATAGATCAATGGCTCCACTCCAACAGAATAAGATCAATGGCTCCACTCCTACAGAATAGGATCAATGGCTCCACTCCTACAGAAATAGATCAATGGCTCCACTCCTACAGAAATAGATCAATGGCTCCACTCCAACAGAATAAGATCAATGGCTCCACTCCTACAGAATAGGATCAATGGCTCCACTCCTACAAAATAGGATCAATGGCTCCACTCCTAAAGAATAGGATCAATGGCTCCACTCCTACAGAATAGGATCAATGGCTCCACTCCTACAGAATAGGATCAATGGCTCCACTCCTACAGAATAGGATCAATGGCTCCACTCCTACAGAATAGGATCAATGGCTCCACTCCTACAGAATAGGATCAATGGCTCCACTCCTACAGAATAAGATCAATGGCTCCACTCCTACAGAATAGGATCAATGGCTCCACTCCTACAGAATTATATCAATGGCTCCACTCCTACAGAATTATATCAATGGCTCCACTCCTACAGAATTATATCAATGGCTCCACTCCTACAGAATTATATCAATGGCTCCACTCCTACAGAATTATATCAATGGCTCCACTCCTACAGAATCACTCTCCAGGTTTTGTCCTTTTCCTTGCACTGCCAGTATGATCCCAAAGAGCCTTCACCCCTTCACTTTATCATAAAGCAGACCACCACTATCAGCAAATCCATCAGCCTGTTTATTGCTACATGCACCAGCATTTTAGGGCTGCAGAGACTCATTTTATTTTACATTTTTTTAGTCTTACCACACAATGTAAATTACACTATATATAGGACACAAGTTTCTATTTCCCCTAGCATGTTATGAATTTTTATAACAGCCAGACTTTAATACTACCCAGCTGTCAGAAAGCTGTCATTACTGCCTCTACCTCCATTCTCATGCAACAAACAGACCTCACAACTGCACTTACCCCTGTTGCAACCAATAGAATACCATCCAGAATGCTTGTGGTAATAGTAAACTGAATCTGAGCCTCACTGTCACCCACAATCCCAGCAGCCCGCTTTGTGCGCCCTTGACCTATATTTGAAAGTTGCACCAATGAAGTGAAAGTTAAAGCTGCTCTCCCGTCAAAGTTAGCACTGTTGATGATTTCACAAGTGGCACCCTGTAGTCCTGGTGGACACACACAGACAAACCCTGCAGGTGTGGGTTCCATGCATGTTCCTCCATGTTCACACGGCCCTGAGGAACACTCTTTAACATCCTCATCACAGAGTGAGCCTGTTAGTACAAACATAGCAACAGTTAACTCTTCAAGAGCACATATGCCACTCAATTTAAAATGTAACTATTCCCCAAAAATATGGCCAAAGATTTATTGGTGATGCAACAGCTAGCAAGCCTGCCTGCAGGGCTTGATATCATATGTGAGAATCCCCAAAGTGGATGTGGATTTTCCCAACTAGCCTGGACATTTATGATGACACTAGCTGTGTGAGATGATGACACTAGCTGTATGAGATGATGACACTAGCTGTATGAGATGATGACACTAGCTGTGTGAGATGATGACACTAGCTGTGTGAGATGATGACACTAGCTGTGTGAGATGATGACACTAGCTGTGTGAGATGATGACACTAGCTGTGTGAGATGATGACACTAGCTGTGTGAGATGATGACACTAGCTATGACACTAGCTGTGTGAGATGATGACACTAGCTGTGTGAGATGATGACACTAGCTGTGTGAGATGATGACACTAGCTGTGTGAGATGATGACACTAGCTGTGTAAGGTGATGATGACACTAGCTGTGTGAGATGATGACACTAGCTGTGTGAGATGATGATGACTACTGTGTGAGATAGACACTGTGTAATGAGATGATGACACTAGCTGTAATGAGATGATGACACTAGCTGTGTGAGATGATGACACTAGCTGTGTGAGATGATGACACTATCTGTGTGTGAGATGATGACACTAGCTGTGTGAGACACTAGCTGTGGAGATGACACACTAGCTGTGTGAGATGATGACACTAGCTGTGTGAGATGATGATGACACTAGCTGTGTAAGGAGATGATGACACTAGCTGTGTGAGATGATGACACTAGCTGTGTGATGATGATGACACTAGCTGTGTGAGATGATGACACTAGCTGTGATGAGACACTAGCTGATGATGACACTAGCTGTGTGAGATGAGACACTAGCTGTGTAATGAGATGATGACACTAGCTGTGTAAGATGATGATGAGATGATGACACTAGTTGTGTGAGATGATGACACTAGCTGTGTAAGGTGATGATGACACTAGCTGTGTGAGATGATGACACTAGCTGTGTGAGATGAGACACTAGCTGTGATGATGACACTAGCTGTGTGTGTGACACTAGCTGTGATGATGACACTAGCTGTGATGAGATGATGACACTAGCTGTGTGAGATGATGACACTAGCTGTGTAGGTGATGATGACACTAGCTGTGTAAGGTGATGATGATGACACTAGCTGTGTAACTAGCTGTGAGATGATGACACTAGCTGTGTGAGATGATGACACTAGCTGTGTAAGGTGATGATGACACTAGCTGTGTGAGATGATGACACTAGCTGTGATGATGACACTAGTGATGATGACACTGTGTAAGGTGATGATGACACTAGCTGTGTAAGATGATGATGACACTAGCTGTGTAAGGTGATGATGACACTAGCTGTGTGAGATGATGACACTAGCTGTGTAAGGTGATGATGACACTAGCTGTGTAAGGTGATGATGACACTAGCTGTGT